TCTCGACATATTTCAGTGCTTCATCCATATCCTGTCTTCATTATTCAAACAGATTATAATTACGGCAAAAGACGTGTAAATAGCTAGACTCGCAATTGCTGCCCAATGGGCATTTTTCAAAGAGCCTGGGAAGGAGTCCTTCCAGCGTTAGAGTTTTACTTTCAGGGGATTAGAAAGCTTTTCAGTTTGAAGAGTCCATTAATACAAATATATTTCAGGAATGAACACTGTTAAATTATTTATTTGATTAGTGATTAGCTGACCATCTGCTGAGATTAAGGCAATGAAGGGTCATTAAACAAGGGAGGATTCAGGCAGAAGAAATAAGGAACTCTTGGAGAAAGTGGATACATGGTTAAGGAGACCATTACCTCTATTTTGGTTAGGTTTCAGGTTTTGTTTAGGCTGGCTCTGTAAAGGTATGGGTTCTTTCCAATTTATTTCCATCCATCCTCTATGCTTTACAATGTATGTTTTATTTAAGTGTTGAAAGTGACTAGAGACTTACTGCTTGTTATCACTGGGTAGTCGTGCTTTGCTTCTGGTATTCCAGAGGGTCTAGCAGAGGTTCCATAGAGCACTTATTTCTATCAATTGCTTCAGAACCTTAACATTTTTTGGTGATTTCTGGTACTAAGTTGATGAAATAACAGGAAAATAGAGCTCAGATGCTTTTGGATAAAATCTTAATTTATCTCCTCCCTTCTCTCTGACTTTTCATGTATTGACTCAACTAGTCCCATATTGTTGGATGCCTTTTCTGACTCCTATGTCTACCTCATTCCTTGCATGTGGTCAAGGTCTATTTCATTTCCTGTATCTCTCACATCCTTTGCTTCTTTTCACTTGGCAGAGCCCTCTTTGATTTTTAGTGTCATAATATTCCCAGCTCTTTCTGATCTCTTTCTTTTTCTCTCCCAGCCCCAATAGCCACAACTCCTCAATCCATACTAAAGTTTCTCTTTTCTAATTCTGGACATTCTGCTCTCTTGGACTAATGTTCTTGCTTTCCTGTTGTTTTGTAGAAAAAAGACAAACTCTCCAAATTGGCATATATGATTCTCCCAAATGCATAAAAATCCATACAAGTATTTCTCCATTCTAAACCTACCATAATACATACAGTATACCATGGGAGCATAATCATGAGAGATACAACATGAATGGTAAAAAATGAATATTTCTTGTGTTTTTGTCAGACTTGGTTATTTACTGATACCTTATAATGCTATACGTATGAATATCTCAGTTGCCTTGATCTAGGATGTCAGAGATCCTTACTTGATAAGATGATCCTAAATAAATTGATAGATACACCGTTTTCCTTTTTTGCATATCAATATCCCATCAACATTTCAAAACTCCATCTTAAAGCCATCCCATTTGCATCACTCCTATGACAAACTCAGATGGCTCCTAGCTTTACCTCAATCTACTGTAGCACCGTGTTGGCATCATATCTTATTCTTCTTCACTCTACTATGCAATATAGTAATTTGTGTGATTATATCACACTCTTTTTCTCCACAAATTGAGGGCCTTCTTCTGGAAAATAGAGACTTACTTACACCTCAGTTTAAGTCCTCATTGTATCCAAACCATGTGACTTACTAATCTATAAGGTCAGTGAACTTCAAAGGTTCTTCTTTTCTTGTTTCCATTCAGTAAACACTGCTACTGTTCTTGATATAGCAAGGCCATTTCTTCAAATGCAATCTTACATGGAAATCTATAAAAGAGGGGGAAATCGATGTTTTCTGAATGGCAAGGAAGTGATTGTTAAAGCCTGTCCAAACATCCCCTCCTTGTCTATTCCTGACTGACTCTATAGAATATCTATGGCTCTGTTCAATATTGTCTGAAATCTACAGTATTCACTTCATATGTCACTGTCAAGCAAGACAGCACTCTCAATGTCACCACCACTGTTCTTGATGTAAAGTCCTAAATTTAAGCATGAAATAAAGTTTATAAGCGACAAATACATGAAGATGTGTGTGGTCTATAGGTGAGCGTATGTTTCCTCCAATTGCACTGTCCCTCTTATTGCCAAATTTTCCCTCTAATAAATACCATCCTCTCTGCTGGAATTATCTAGACATTGAAGGAAAGAAAGTTAAGCTAGTAACACAATAGAATTAGATGTTTCTGGCAGTAAATGACTTAGAAAGTGCTCATAGGGTTTTTTCATGGTCTTTTACCTTTTGGAAGAAGAAAGTTAAAATACAAGTAAGCTGATACTTTACATGCATGAAGGCGCCAAAGGAGGGTTTGATAGGTTTGTTTAGGGCAGATTATTCTGTCATGTTCTGAAAGGTTTGGGTCATCCCAGGTAGGGGCAGGGGCAGGATTCAGGCAAGAAAAACCCTGGCTATGAGGAAAGAGGTTGGTTTTGCTGGACAATGTCCTGTATGTGGGTGAAAGGTGTCTTTGTCTAAAAGAAGATAATTTGACTGGATTCTAGCCTGAAGAGTTGCCAAGCTTTGTTCATCTCTAGAACCATGGCCTTTAGTAACAACAAAAGTATACTCTTAATATAAAGGACAATTTTAGAAGAAAAAAAAAAGGAGAGAAGAGAACATGGAACTAAAAGGGAATAAGAGATATTTGCTCTTAGGATATTAAAATACATATATATATATATATTTGGGTCCTTAAAAATAAAGTGTTCCAACATCTTTCATCCTTCACTACTCAAGTCCTTGACCCACTTTCCTTTTTCTGCTTTTCCTTCCTTCTGTCTTTCTCTTCCTTCTCTCTTACTCATCTGCCTTTCCCTTCTACCTTTTCATTTCCCATATTCTGTTTATTAGGAATTACTTCTAAAGCCCTAAAGATGCTGCAAAACCAGCCCAGCAACATCACTGACTTCTTAAGAGAGCCACTCAGGAGATTGGCCCTCATTCCGGTTGTCTGGAGGTTGTTGAACAAACTGAGCAACCCTAATCCAGTCACACTGCTCCAGTCTCAGTAAAGACTCAGTCTATTTGGAGGATTTTATAATCCAGGGACTTATTAGGGCATGTTTGTAAGGCCAAATAATTAATGATCTACTCGGTGTCTGTGTGACAAGTCGGACATTTGTCCTGAGTTTCCAGGCAGGGACAGATGCACACCAGTATTTCTGCCATTCAGTTGTTCAGAGTGTTTACAATGCATGGGTTTCCTGTGGGTCAGCTAGTAGGCAGCTGACGGTGAGCTACTTAATTTTCTCGATGGTGCTAGCAGAGTGAGGGAGACAGAGAGGCTGTGGTGATGACTGCGGGTGGTGAGCTGTGGGTAGCAGAACATTTCCCCTGATTAAAAAGGAAACTCTGGCGTTGGAGATCCCCAAATTGTGAATGTCCTGGATAATCACAAGGATACCCCCAATGAGAAACACTTGTCAGTCAGGGGGAATTTCAGGTCAGTCCGTCTGGACCAAGAGAAGGCTACAAGAGCACCATGTAAGTCAGTTATGTCAGAACTTTACCATCTCGTTACCATCTACCCTGTTCCAACATGGCCCAAGGAATGAAGATCCAGAGAGGGAGAGAGAAATGGACACATCGATGCTTCCTGGTAGGTCCCCTGGGTCTCAGCAGGGGAGAGGGAAACATTGAATAGGCTGAATATGAGATGGAGTTGACACTTGACTGACCTGGCCTTGTGAAACCCAGAGTGATAGAATGTATGGAATGGTTGCAAGGTGATGCAGAAAATGAGGATGCAGTGGAGTATGGGTGGAGACAGCCACTGGAGGAGGATGGAGCCAGTTCACGTTTGTATCTGCGATGGTCTCAACCTTTGTGTCCCCCAGAATATTCAGATGATGAAATCCAGATTCCCATGGTTATGGCATCCATAGGTGGAGCCTTTCTGAGGTGATGATGGAGTTATAAGGATGGAGCCTCCTCAATGAGATGAGTGCTTTTATATAAGAGACACACAGAGCTCCCAAGCCCTCCCCCACTGTGTGAGGATACAATAAGAAGTGTGAGACCAGAAAGGACCCTGCAAGACCACACTGTGGAAATCCATCTTCATTGGTTTTAAGTCTGTGAGATTTTGTTATAGCAACCCAGAAGGTCTAAGACAGCATCCTAACAGTCTTCACACAGTTCAGTAAACCTCATGCTATGTGTACAAAGGTGTGAAGCACTGATCCTGTCTGGTGTAACACTGTGACAGTGGGCTGACAGTTCGTGGCTGGCTTTCATAAAGAATCCTGAGGATTCAGTCTTCTTGGCAGCATGGCCAGAACCATAAACAATTGTCTAATACTTTGATTCTAATAACTTGACCCAGAATAATTTTCTGTGATTCTTATGTAATCTCTTAATGGTGTTCTTTGCAATGCCAGCTTCTGCTATTTGTGACTAATTTTAATAGGAGCTTTATTCTCTCAATTGTAAGGATGGATTTTCTTTTGATTTTTGATTAAATGAAAATAAGAAATGTTAACAAATTGCCCTCTTAGATTTTGACACCTCTACAGAGTCTGTGTTTATTTTATTTTTTTTTTTGTATTTTATTTTTTTTTTTTAATTTTTTAATTTTTTTTTTATTAGTTGGAGGCTAATTACTTTACATCATTACAGTAGTTTTTGTTATACATTGAAATGAATTAGCCATGGATTTACATGTATTCCCCATCCCAGTCCCCCCTCCCACCTCCCTCTCCACCCGATCCATCTGGGTCTTCCCAGTGCACCAGGCCCGAGCACTTGTCTCATGTACCCAACCTGGGCTGGTTATCTGTTTCACCCTAGATAATATACATGTTTCAATGCTGTTCTCTTGAAACATCCCACCCTCACCTTCTCCCAGAGTCCACAAGTCTGTTCTATACATCTGAGTCTCTTTTTCTGTTTTGCATATAGGGTTATCATTCCTGTGTTTATTTTTTAAGAGAAGACCCATTTTACAGAGCATGTATTAAAAAGCTGTAAATTTCAAGGAAGCTTGCTATGGGATAGATCATTAGGACCATCTCAGAGCTGGATGGGATGGATGTGGATTTAGCACGTGTTGTAGCTTCGGCATGCCAGGATCTTGGTGTAAATGTCAATTTTACGTGAGTCCCTGTGCAGGCACTGGAACAGGATAAAAAATGCATAATGACGTATATTTTCATCTCTGGATGTCAGGGATTGAAATTCAGTCCCGCAATGGTGAGCATCCAACATCTTCTTCCTGACTGGAAAAATAACCTGAATACCCAAAAGATAATGACTTCTTATGCATTTTATTAGTAGTTGCTATCTTTGTCCCTTATAATAATCAAATTAAGATTTGGGGAATACATACAAATATAAAACTCTCTAAATGTGGATTTTGGAGCCAGCCTATGAGAACACTATTAGCAATCTAGAAAGTAGAAACATAACTCAAGTTTAGTTTTAACTTTCCCTTTTTTTCCTTTCCATTCTCATCCTTTGATTTGAGGGGAACAGAGAAAGAAGACAAGTAGAACTTCAAGAGCGGATGTCCTGGGATACTTTGAGGAAAATGCTGAGCTTGGAAATTCTGTTCTCTAGTTCTCTTACTCTTGAAATTATTTCAACCACCTGTGCCCAGGAAGAGGCAGGCTTTTGGTGTAATTGTGTGCAATGCAGGGAAGGCTGCACATGTCAAAAATTGCAGTGAAATTCTGATTCCTTTACAGGGTAATCTATCACTGTGAATGACTAGGCTCCTTTATGTAGTAGCAGTCTAGTGTATAGAAGTCATGAATCTTTTTCTTACAAAATGAGATATTTCAAAACTCCTTACCCATTACAGAGGTCACCTCTTTCATTCATGAACAAAGCAAGAAAGCCTTCTGCAGGATGCTCACCTGGCTGAATTGCCTCTCTATGAGTTCTTGAAGTTCTTGTACTTTATTCACATTCTCTCTGGCACTTGATAAGATAGGATCTGAGACTTCTATCAAATGTTGCACGTTCGTGACTAGATGATGCAGAGGTGGTTTCCAGGAGTACAGTAACATGAGAATCCACTTACTAAGTTCTTCATTCTAAGCAACCATAAAAAACAGTCTCCTTAAAATAATCATAATTCAGTGGTTTTGGTAACATGTGATCTTTGCTCAGAGCCACTGACCTAAAAAACTCTTGGTTATTCCAACTGTATACAGAGATTTTTGATGGTAGTAAAAGTTGCAAAAGTATAAAATGTAAGCTATTAGTTCAGAGTTCGCTGAATTATTAAAAATCTGGGTTATTTTAGGAATTAATTCTTCTGATGTGTTCTAATTTATAACATGAAGAATTTTCTTTTTTCCTCTGAAATTCTACCACCCACTCAGTGAGTTCTTTTATGTTTGTCTATTTGTGTGAGAGAAATCTAAGTATTTTATGACAAGTCAGTATGTGCCTGCAGTACCTGACCCAGGAAAGAGGCATTCCACCTGTGCCCACATCATTGTCACCCAGTGATTCTTTTGTCATATTAATGAATAAAATGAGTCATTAGTATTGATTTTTAATCAGTAATTTGTTTTATGATGTTACAACAAAGAGACAATGAAGAAGACATGACATTCCTAAACAGGCTTTCTTTCCTCAGTTGATCCCAACACCAGCCCCCATGCTGGTATCAGAAGAGTCTGTCTTGTTGACACATGTCCAGGCAGAAACTGGCACAGTGTTGTCTTAGTAACAGAATCAGTGGGATTCACAATGGACGGTTTTCACCCCTAGTTCACTACTACTAGTAGAATTGAGCATGAAAATCCTGGGGGCTGAAGATCCCTAGTTAATATGCTTGATTTCTTTACAGCCATGAACTATTTTAGTGGAAAAGAACAGAGAACTGAATAGGATTAAATATAATAATGCACATAAAGTGCTTAGTAAAATGTATGGCCATGTAGTAACTCTCAATAAACTTTAAATTCAAGCTTATTGAAAAATCCCTCCTCCTCCTCCTCTTTTCGTTTTTCCTTTACTTGATCATCCTCATTATTAATGAGCCTAACAGAGGAAAAGAATGCTGGTATCATTAAGAAAGTTGTAGAGAGAGAAGATAGTATTTTAAGGGGGGATGCATGTGAAAGTATTTTAAATAATGTTAGGACAAAGGATAATGCAGGAAATCAGAAAGGAGAGATTATAACAATGAAAATTTGGAGCTGCCTTTATTCATTGAGGCTTGATATGTAAAGTGTGTTGTCCTCAGAACAGAGGCAATTGTTGTGGTCATGAGAAGCAGCGCAATGTTATATATGCCATTGTGGGGGAGACTTACAAATTAACAATAAATGGTGACAGAGGAGTCATTGAGAATGGCGAATGAAGGAGGTGTCAGAGAAGTAGAAGCAGAATCAGGAGAGCCTGGAAAGGCAGGCGCAATGACGCGAGTGGTGCAGTATACGACTCGACATACGATTCACTATTAACAGGGAGTACTCAAAACTGGGGTGTGTTTCTTACATATTCATGAATTTTGCAATAGATTTTACATGTCGAAGTTCCCATTCATTTCCTGTTTTCGTACAGTATAACAACTGCAATCCTGTGTCGAATGCATTGGTTGAACTAAACTTGTCTGCATGGACAATTTGTTAGATCTGTTTTTTATTTTGCTACTACAGATCTTTAGTCATCCCTTGATTTCTCTCATGCTTCATCAACTGCATTATATAATTTCTCTTTAATTGCATACGGTTCCTCCACCATATTCTGCATGTACAGTTACCATTACCTCTAATAATCTGAAGCCTGGTAAGCTACATACTGTCTCATTTGATCCAGTGAAAAACCCAGGTGAAAGACTCACGGTCATCTGTAGGGCTTTTTCTCTGTCTTCAGGAGCATGGAGGGGATTGGTGTGGCAGCTCTTGGTGGCATTGATATAGTACTGTTTGCCCTGGGCATATCTTTCATACTGAAAGTGATAAGGCAATTAGTTAGGGTTATTAGCCATTCAGTAGATAAAACCATTATCAGAACATTAACAGGTTGCATAGACATGTAATTTTTTTAACGGGGGGGCGGGGGGCATCACAAATTTTGAAAGTCATTCTTTTTCTACTTTTCTATACATTGACTCTATGACAATGATTTTACATCTAACTTTTCTAAGTTCAACCTTTTCCCTTCTCTAATTTATTATTATTAATTTTTTTAGTTTTTAGTATTTGAACCAAATATAGTACTTTTGTACCAATACTTGGTGCTTTCCAGGTGTCTGTAGTGGTAAAGAGCATTCCTGCCAATGCAGGAGATAAAAGAAGACTCAGGTTTGATCTCCAGGTGAGGACCATCCCTTGCAAGGGGGTACAGCAGCACACTCCAGTATTCTTCCCGGCAAATCCTATAGACAGAGAAGCCTGTTGGGCTACAGTCAGTAGAGTTGCAAAACGTTGAACACAACTGAAGTGACTTAGAATGCATGCATGCACCGATATTTAACCATTTAATCTCTTGTTTACTGTGGATTAGAACCAATATATTCCCTTGTAAGAAGTTAAACAGTAATGACTTAGACTTATCTTTGAATCCACACACCAAAAAGCTTAGTGTTCATCCCAGGTGCAGAATACAATGTTGTTTATGGTGACAAAATGGTACATCAAAAAACAGGGCCCAAAGTTATAGGAAATACTAAGCAGTAGACTGTGAATAATAAGAGTAGAAAACTCTAGCTAACACTTTGAGAGAGAAAAACTAAAATTTAGTGAAAGTTATGAACATTTAAACATATTACTTGGAAGAGTTGGGGGAAAAAGGACAGTCAAAAACGGAGGATGAAACAAAAACTAGTGAGCAAAAAGAACTATGAGAATTTAATAGAAACTTTTAGCACCGCCTTTTATTAGCTGTCTGCTCTGCTGTGTGCTCCTTGATTGACCTAAAAGAATTAACACACAACTTTCAAATACATTCATCCGAAAGAGAATAATTGTTTCCAATTGCAAACTCCCCTTCAATTGTAACTATAAACCTATTCACTGTAAATCTTAAACAATAATTTGTAGCATTAAATAAACTACCAATAAGTGATTTTGTGACCAGGATTCAGCTTTGTTTAACATGTTCCATCCACGCAGTTCACTGCAGAGCAGTTCTCAATTATTAGCTATTTACTCTGAGCCTGGAGAAGAAAGCCCACAGAGACACTGAAGGACCAGAAAATCACCATGCTTCCTTTTCCCTAATCCCACCTAAAACTGCTTTAGTCAGGTAGTATTATAGACTGAATGTGTGTTCTTCAGATTCATGTGTTAAAGCCTGAATTGCCAAAGTACTGTGTTTTGAGAAGGATTCTGACTTTTGGGGACCCCATGGTCTATAGCCCACCAGAATCTTCTGTCCATGGGATTTCTCAGGCAAGAATATAGGAGTGGCTTGCTGTTCCATTCTCCAGGGAATCTCCAGAACCACAGATAGAACCCAGGTCTCTCTCATTGCAGGCAGATTCTTTACCATCTGAGCCACCAGAAAAGCCCTTTAAGGTTAAATGAGCTCTTAGGTTGGAACACTCATCCAATAGGTTTATTGTCTCCATGAAGCACAACACCAGAGACTTTTCTCTTCTGTGTCTGTGTGTCCTTTCCTATGTCTCTCTTCCTCACCTCCCACCCTGTGTGAGGACGCACGGAGAAACCATCCTGGGAAGAAAGAGTTCTTACCAGAACCTCACCTTGCTGGTGCCCTGATCGGGGACTTCTAGTCCCCAGAACTGTGAGGAAATAAATTTCTGCTGTTTATTCCACTGAGTCTATTGTATTCTTTTATGGCATTCCTAGCTGACAAATACAAAATCATTATTTTGGAAATTTAAAAAAGAAAATGAATGAAAGGAAATTGAAAAAGTTATTGCACTTCTTAGGAACTTTTCAGATTTCACAAAACTGGTCCTTTCTTCAATTTCCACATCTTATGAGCTGACGGCATCTTTAACCTAGAGAGTGTGTTATTTGAAATTTGGCTGATTCAGCCCTCTTGTTGAAAGGATAATATAGCCCAGTAACATGAAGGTCCTTCTGGGATCCTTGTGGGCTACAGTCCATGGGGTCACAGGAGTCGGACACGACTTAGCAACTAAACCACCACCACCACAGTACTTACAAACTCATTGAACATTATTGTGGAATGGTCAAGGATGTCGAGGGACAGTTGGGCAGCATTGACAAACACGTATCTAAGGGACTTCAGGGGGACTTCAAACACATCAGGACAGCAGGACGGGCATACGTTGCCTTGGCACAGGAGCAGATTCGACATGCCCAGGAGCAGGAGCAGGCAGGACCCTGCTAAAATAAAAACATGAGCCATTCTGAGATGATCAGGTCACCTGAGCTAATCAAATCCATCCTGTGGAGGGAAGCCTTCTCTTTCCCTGTTGCTCTGAGCAGGAGTTGGAGCTGTAGTAGCTGGGGTGGGGAAGAAGGAGCGCCCCCTGTGTGAATTTAGATGGATGATGACATTTGCACAGATAGAGAGTTGGAGAAGTAGGTCACTCCCCGCATTTTGTATTGCTCCCTGAAGTACTTCTGTGCTCTGCAAACATTTGGAACTTAATTCTGAGCCAGAGTGTTTAGGCCATTCTTTTAAGACAGTTTAATGTGGGGACTCTGCAGACTCTGAGCAGCGAGGCCCTCTAGGAGTGTGGAATTTTTTCACTCTACATTGACTAGTGCGTGAATTTTAGACACTGAAATGACAAGAAGTGTACCGTTGATCTGAGAGCTTTACCATCACACTGGGGTAAGAGTAAACACATGACTGACTGATCGCTACTCTTGAGTACAGAGAGAAGACCAAGAGAAAAAGGACACTGTGCCTTGGATCTGCTGACTCAGCTTCGTGACCCCGTGCAGGTCTTTGATACTTTCCCAAAAGCTCTAAAACATCTTAAAAGTTGTGTTTCACAGTAACCCTGTGAGATATCCTCAATCTTCAATATGATCATCAAGTTATGTTTATGAAGATGCAATGCCTTGGAGAGGGCAAATAATTTTCCCCAGGTCCCATTATTTGCAGATGGAGGTGACTGGGCACCAATGCAGTCATCTGTCCACTTCCTGATGTCACATCACACATGCCTGTGGGCTCTCAGTCTACATGTGTGTAACCAGGACCATATCAGGAGCTGTGATGACTCTGCTTGCAGAGAAAAATATTTTGTCTTTGACTGCAAAGCAGCAGTGACCATAGAACATTGGTTTTATCCACTTGATCTGATCTGTCTATAAAACTCTCACTGTTAAAGTCTTTGACAATTATCACTGTGGGGGCCTGGTTCTCCTGGCTAGACTTTCTTCTAGGCACCTTGACAGGTCTTCTACTTTATGCATCTTTAATCTTCTCATTAGATTTGTTTCTTTGAGAAAATGGGAGGGAAATCTCCAGATGGTCATCCAAGAATCTTACCTGCTCAGCACCCAGGACCTTGTCACTGGCTCTGTAGACACGGCCTGGCCTTTCCTGACTGTGACGTTTCATGGAGAAAATCCATCTCTCTAGTCAGGAGCACATCCTGACAGCCATGGGGCTGAGTTTTTGAACCATCTCCAAACATCTCCTCTTTGATAGTAGAACTAGACTTTCAAGTTTCCATGATGTATTGTAATATTTCAGAAATTATTCCTGGCCCTACCTTTGGCCAACAGAAGCATAAAATCATAGACTCTTGCAAGCGTGATTTTAATATTACTTTTCCTGTCCATCCTTTGTAAGTAAGTAGAATTTAAGACTGAAGTGAGCAAGAATTGAGTTTAGACAAGAGAACTGATAAAATAGAGATTTTATCCTCCTGAATGAGATCTGAACATGATTCTTTTTCCAGTTTACCAGAAGACTGGTAATTTAGTGAACAATAAGATAACAGCATTTACTAGCTTTTCTCTGCTCTTAGTTACTTTAAAGGGGCATGGTATCTAAGAATAAAATGGTTATTTAAAATTAGGTAATGAAAATCAAAGAAGTGATTCTCAAAAAGAAGACACATAAGTTGGAGAAATTTGGGACTATCTCTTTCATCAACTAAAGAGCTTATTGTGACAGGCAAGGAGAATAATAGCTTGTATAACATAGATGTATTTGTGTGCATATATTTCTGTGCATGTATATATGTGTTATGCATAAACATATGCTTAATTCCTACATGGAACTTTGGACCTTATAAAAATCGATTTTATAAGAGGCAGTAAATATAGCATAATACCCTAATTCCTAATGTAATTGATCATTTATTGGTAGATGACTAACTGTATGATTTTCTTCTGTTAAAATGTTACTCCTGTGTTTGCTTTGGTAGCACATATATTAAAAAACTGTAATAATAGTGAGAAGATTAGCATGGCCCCTGCGCAAGGATGACACACAATTTTGTGAACCTTCCATATTTCTCTGTAACGGCTTCAACGTGTGGAATGGGAAAGAAAGTGGGAAGGAGGTAAGAGCGAGGGGACATAGGTATGCTATACCTATGGCTGACTCATGTTGATGTTTGATGGAAAGCAGTACAATATTGTAAAGCAATTACCCTTTGATTAAACATTAATAAATTTAATTATTAAAACTGTTACTGGGGATCATATAACAGGTTCAGATGTCCATTCTATGACTAAAGAGGATCTGACTGCACACTGATGGTGTCAATTATCATTGGTTAGTGATTCATTAACTTTATAGTTGAATGAGAAAAGTAAATTAAAAAACACTATTGTCTGTGATTCAGTATTGTAGCAAGCTATAATCCTTGTCTGCATTCGCTTTTAGGTGGCATAGTGCCCAAACTTTGAAACTGAGGCTGTTCCCAGAAGCGCACAGTCATGAGTTCTGTTCCGGGTTTAAGTTCCTGATGCTGGAGGCCTCTGTTCGCTGGTCCACTAGGTCCAAAACTTTCTCTCCTGAGCATTCTTTGGTTCTATCATGTGCACAAGTCTTTATATTTTGGTTTTCTAATTTGATTCTCTTATCTTTTGATCAGACTACCAAGTCTCTTTACCAAGAAAAAGATATAACAATTTTAAAAATCTATGTAGCCAACATAGGAGCACCTCAATACATGAGGAAAACACTGACTGACACAAAAGGGGAAATTGACAGTAACACAGTAATAGTAGGGCACGTCAACACCGCACCTGTACCAATGGGCAGATCAACAAAACAGAAAATTCATAAGGAAACATATCCTCCAAGGAAATATTAGAGCAAACAGACCTAATTGTCTTCAGCACATTCCACCAAATGCAGAGTACACTTTCTTCTCAAGTTCACATGGAACATTTTCCTCATCTTGGGTCACAAATCAAACCTCAGTAAATTTAAGTAAATTGAGATTATATCAAGCACTTTCTTTGCCCACAACACTATGAGACTAGATATAGATTATAGGAGAAAAAACAACAACAACTTTAAAGAACACAAACACATGGGGATTGAACAACACGTTTCTAAATAATAAACCGGTTACTGAAGAAATAAGGGAAATCAAAACATACCTAGAAACAAAGAACAATGAAAACATGATGATCTGTCCAGTAGACAACAAAAAGCAAGGGAAGGGAAGGGCAGCAAACAGAGAGGAGAAAGTGACATCTCTGCAAATATTCTATCACCATAATACATAGTTCACAAAGGGAACTTTAATGTCAGACAAAGCTGGGATTGAAAACTGTCTCTCCATTTACTATCAAAAATGTATCTTTGCATCCTTGAAACAATTATTGAATCTCTCTAGTCATCATTTTCCTCCTAATATCAACCTCATAGAGTTGTTATTAAGATAAAATAAAATCATGTAATTCCCTTACCAAAAAAAAAAAAAAAAAGCATGATGATCTAAAACCTATAGGATGCAACAAATGCAGTTCTAAGAGGGAAGTTTTTATAGTAATACAAATCCTACCTCAAAAAACACATTGAATAGACAACCTAACTTTACATATCTTTAACTGTTTTTAAATTTCTCTTATCAGCGTCTTAAAGGCTTTGTATAAAATCTTTCAAAACCTTGCTTAAGTTTATTTCTAAGTGTTTTATCCTTTTGTGATGCAACAGTAAATGGGCTTGTTTTCTTTGTTCCACTTTCTGCTAGTTCATTGTTGATATACAGGTAGGCAACTGATTTTCACATATTGGAATACAGTAAACATAATGTATGCTACATTTTAAGGAATAGACATTTTCCCACAAATAAGACATATAGATGACAAGGTATATTGCAAGATGCTCAGCATCGCTAATAATCAAAGGAAATGCAGATCAAAAGCACAAGAAATATGACTTCATACCTGTTTGAATGGCTATTACCAAAAATGTAAGAAATGACAAATGTTATTGAGAATGTGGGGGGAAAGGAGTGCTTATGCACTGTTGGTAGTGATATATACCGGTGCAACACCCATGGAAAAATACTGTGGAGGTTCCTCAAGAAATTTAAAAGAGAACTGTTATGGGATCCATTATCCCACTTCTGGATATATAGTCAAAGGAATGAAATCATTGTCTCAAAGAGAGGTCTGTTCCCATGTTCATTGCAGCATTATTCACAGTAACCTTGGTATAGAAACAATAATCTTTCAACAGGTGAATGGATTATAAAACAATGTGATGTGACATATATAGGTAAATACATTTTAGCCATTAGAAAAAGAAAGAAATCCTTCCATTTGTGGCAATCTGGATGAAATTGGAGGGCATTATAGTAGGTAAACTAAGTCAGAGAAAGACAGATACCATATGATCTCAATTATAAGGAGTTTCACACACACACACACAAAAGATGGTACTCAGAGTAGAAAAATGATTGCCAAAGACTAGAGGGAAGGACAAATAGGGAGAGATTTTTAAAGGTTGCAAATTTTTCTGATTAAAAATTAATAAGGTCTGAGGATGTAAATTTGAGCTTCACGATCTAATCATGAGATCTAATCATGTGATTAAACAAGCTCTGGGAATTGATTATGGACAGGGAACCCTGGCGTGCGGCAGTCCATGGAGTCACAAAGATTTGGACATGACTGAATGACTGAGTCAACTGAAGAGAGTGGAACTTACCTGTGTTCTCCTCAAAAAGCAAAAGTTAAACAGGTGTGGTGATGGCAATGTTACTTAATAGAGAGGAAAACTCGTTTCTAATACACGCACAAATGGGGTGGACAAGATGATAGAGGGGTAGGTGGAAGTGAGATACACCTCTCTCCACCGATGCATCAAGAACTTCTAAAGATGCAGCAGTTCTCACAGAAGACCAGGTGAATACTGGCAGGACCCCCTGACTACTGAGAAGAAATGTCCGGATCCATACAGAACTCGGTAGGACAAAGGAAAGAAGGGACAAGGAGGAAGAGGAAAGAAGGAGGAGAGCAAGTGGGACCAGCCTGCACCTGGGGCTGAGGGAGCTGAAGCGCAGGGGAGAGATCCCCGCGTCCATGGCCGTCCACTGGAATGGGGGAGTCATTTAAAGCTGTTGGGGAGTGAACTAAATAACCTGTGACCGACTGAGTGGAGTGAGAACTACGTAGACAAGCCATGCTGCTGCCTTTCATACCTCGGACAGGGTTGTAAGTCCACTGGTGTCCACGGGAGCTGAGAGCTGGAGCCATGGGGATTGCAGAAGGATCCCAGGGTGAGGAGTCCTGTTGACCATGGGGAAACAGCCAGATGGGATGAGATGGAGGAAATCTGCTGCATCGAATGCTTCTTAAGGAAAGCCACGAAGCCATAAAAGTAGGGTTCAACTGCCTGTGGGGTAGAGATATCTCTTCTGCATGGTGGTACCTGTAGGTTGAGCAATAGAGAAAGACTTCAGTGAGGGTGGTCCTTGAGTGCCTGATGCACTAAGCAATGAAGAGTTTTGAACGTCTATATACCCTACCCTACCCTATTCTCTGTCTAAATTGTGGGTTTTAGCGTTATATTTTTATGAACTTAAATTTCTTCTGGTAGAGTCTCTGGTTTACAAATTAAGCTAATTCCTCACATCTGGCTCGTTCTTGGTGTTTCAAGAAACTTTGAGAACCTTCCTTCCTCTCAAGGCAATACTGCCCTTTACTACCATTGCTGACTTCCCATACTTTCACTTCTTGCCTACTATATTCTATGTCTTTCTCTATTCACTATAACTTTAGTAGTATGTATCCCTATGTTGCTAATAATATTTATAATATATTATTAACCTGATGCAGTAGAGAATCAAAAGGACTACAGTTACAACAGTAATAATAAATTACCACCAAATTATAATCCATTAATGCTCCAATTTAAAACTGACTTTCTATCCATATGTTATTGAGGTCTCTCAACTCCTTTTCCTTACCAGGTGGCTCAATTTTGAAATGAAATACAGAAAACAATGGAGTGGTCAACTCTGGAAATTATCTTCTTTTTGATATGCCTCATTAGTAAGTATGCAAATATTATTTTTGCTTTTCCCAGTAGGGCTGTTCTTAGTACATATTATAGCTCACTGTGTGGTGATTTCTACTGACTGAAGAATGTACACTGTGAACTGTAATTGTCAAACAAGTGAGTGGAGATGAAGAAAGTAATGTCAGGAAGGCACAGGCTTTTGTTGTTCTAGCAGGAAAACATTGCTGTGTCTCTCATCTACACTCTAATCTTCAGATTTATTGAAACTCTTACTTCTCTTATGCTCCACTAAAAATTTGAATTATTTGGGGTTTTTTGCCCTTGAGTTGTATGTCTCATGTATTTTTGGATATTAAGCCCTTATGAAATATATGATTTGGAAATATCTTCTGTCAATGTGTAAATTGCCATTTGATTTTGTTGATGTTCCTTTCTTTGGAGTTTGATGTGGTGGCACTGGTTTGTTTTTGCAGGTGTTGTCTTGTCTTGGCTTTTGGTGTGAAACCCAAAAACTCGTTGCAAAGACCATTGGCAGGAAGGTTACTTCAATGTTTTCTTCTAGGGGTTTGATTGCTTAAAGTTTTAGGTTCAACTTTTTAATCCCTGTTCAGTTGATTTCTGTGTATGCTAAAAGACAGGAGCACAGTTTTGTTTTTTCATAGCACTATCCAGTTTTCCCAGTACCATTTTTGAAAAGCTTGGCCTTGCCCCACTTGATTGTCTTGGCTCCTTTTTCATAAGCTAACTGACAACATATGTTTGTGTGTTTCTTTCTGACTTCTCTGTTCAGCTCTGTTGATCAATGTGTATGTTTTTGTGCCAGAAGCAAATCATTCTGTTTTGATTACTATAGCTTTCTAATACAATGTGAAATCAGCAAACCTAGTCTCAAATTGTGTTCTTCTTTCTCAAGATTACTTTGACTCTTTGGTATTTTGTGATTTAATACAGCAGAATAGACCAAGAAGAGATGGAGAAAGTACACAGAAGAACTATACAAATAAATCTTAATGACCCAGATAATCACAATGGTGTACGTCCTCACTCAGAGCCAGACATTCTAGGATGTGAAGTCAAGTGGGTCTTAAATAAGCACTGCTTCCCATAAAGCTAGAGGAGGTGATAGAATTCCAGCAAACCTATTTAAAATCCTAAAAGATGATGCTATTAAGGTGTTCCACTCAATGTGTCAGAAAATTTGGAAAAGCCAGCAGTGTCCAGAGGACAAGACGAGGTCAATCATCATCCCAATTACCAAAAAGGGCAGTACTAAAGAATGTTCAAGCCACTGAACAGTTGCACCCATCTCCCATGCTAGTAAGGTTATGCTCAATTCCTCCAGGCTAGGCTTCAGCGTTATGTGAGCCCAGAACTTCCAGATGTTCAAGCTGGGTTTAGAAAAGGCAGAGGAACCAGAGATCAAATTACCAACATTTGCTGGAACATAGAGAAAGCAAGGAAATTCCAGGAAAGCATCTGCTTCAGTGACCTCACCAAACTGTGTGGATCAAAACAAAGTGGAAAATTTTTAAGGAGATGGGCATACCAGACCAACCTTACTTGCCTTCTGAGAAATCTGTATGCAGCTCAAAAAGCAACAGTTAGAAGCAGACAAGGAACAATAAACTGGTTCAAAATTAGTGAAGGAGTCCGTCAAGGCTGAATATTGTCACCCTGCTGAATTAACTTATATACAGAGCATGCAATGCGAAATGCTGGACTGGATGAGTCCTAAAAGCTGGAATTAAAATTGCTGGGAGAAATATCAACAACCTCAGATATGTGAATGATACCACTCTACAGTGAAAAAGCCGGCTTAAAACTCAATATCAAAAATGCTAAGATCATGGCATCTAGTCCCATCACTTACATGGCAAATAGAAGAGGAAAAGGTGGAAGCAGTGACAGATTTCCTCTTCTTGGGCTCTAAAATTGCTGTGGATGGTGACTGCAGCCATGAAATTAGAAGACGATTGCTTCTTGGCAGGAACACTATGACAAACCTAAATAGTGTGTTGAAAACAAAAACATCACTTTGCTGACAGAGGTCTGTACAATCAAGGCTATGCTCTTTCCAGTAGTCATGTATGCATGTTTGAGCTTGACAAATAATAAAGAAGGTAGAGTGCTGAAGAATTGATGTTTTCGAACTGTGGTACTGTAGAAGACTCTTGGGAGTCCCTTGGAAAACAAGGAGATCAAACCATTCAACCTTAAAGGAAATCAATCCCAAATACTCTTTGGAAGGACTGATGCTGAAGCTGAAGCTCCAATACTTTGGCCACCTAATGTGAATAGCTGACTCAATGGAAAAGACCCTGATGCTGGGAAAGATTGAAGGCAGAAGAAGACAAGAGTGACAGAGGATGAGATGGCTGAATGGCATCACCAATTCAATGGGCATGAACTCGGGCAAATTCTAGGAGATGGTAAGGAACAGGGAAGTCTGGTGTGTTGCAGGCTGTGGAGTCACAGAGTCAGACACGACCTGGCAACTGAACAACAACAACAGATTTATACAAGTTGTAGAATTTTTTTTCTGTTTTGTGAAAAGTGCCTTGGAATTTTGAAAGAGACTCCAGTGAATATGTACATAGCTTTGGGTAGTATGGGTGTATTAACAACATTAATTCTTCCAGTCAATAAATATGAAATATATTTCCTTTAGTCTATTTTAAATATTTCTTTCATGAGTGTCTTGAAGGTTTTCATACATAGACCTTTCAACACCTTGCTTAAGTTTATTTCTACGTATTTTATTTTTTGATGCAATTGAAAATGCGATTATTGGTGTTTCTATAATTTCTTTTGCTGTATGGATATGTAACTGAATTTTATATATTCAAATACAGTATACAAAATGCATGCTATTTTTTACAGAATAGACAATTTTCCCCCCAAATAAGACACACAGAATGCCCAAGAAGTATATGACAAGATACTCAACATCACTATCAGGGAAGTGCAAATCGAAAGTACAACACATACCAACTTATTCCTCTTTAAATGGCTTTTACCAAAAAGTAAGAAATAAGTGTGGCTGAGGGTGTGTAGAAAATGGAGGTCTTAATAGATTATTAGTAGGAATGTATATTGGTGCAACCCCCATGGAATACCTTCTGGAAGTTTCTTACAAAATTTCACAAAGAACTGTTATGCAGCCATTAATCCCACTTCTGGATATATATTCATTTCTGAATATAAATTCAAAGGAAATGAAATAATTATCTCAAAGAGAAATCTGTACTCACAAATTCATTGCATCAATATTCACAGTAGCCTAGAAACAACCTATTATAGGAACAATCTAAGTACCTGTTAGCAGGTAAAGAGATTTATTAAACAATGTGATGTGATATATATATATATATATATATATATATATATATATATATACACACACACATATATATATGTGAATTTTATTTAGCCATTAAAAAAGAAAGAAATTCTTCCATTTGTGGCAGCATGGATGAAAATGGAGGGCCTTATGATAAGTGAAATAAGTTAGAGAAAGACAGTTACTGTATGATCTCAATTGTAAGGAATGAAAAAAGAAAAAAAAGTGGAACTCAGGAACAGTGTAGGAAAGTGATTGCCAAGGCTTGGAGAGTGGGGGAAATAGGAACGGGTTTGTAAAAGGTTATACATTTTAACATATGAAAATTATAAGGTCTGAGGATCTAATATGTAGCGTGATGACTATAACTGATAAAATTGTGTTGTATAATTGGTGCTGTCTAAGAGAGTGGAACTTACCTGTGTTCTCTTCAAAAAAATAAAAGGGAAACATGTCAGATGATAGCTGTGTTACTTAAGTTAATACAAAGGGAAACTCTTTTCTAACACATATGTAAATGAGGGTCAGCACTATGGCAGAGCGTAGGTGGAAATGGCAAGTGTACTGGAGTGGGTTGCCATTTCCTCCTCCAGAGATGGTTCCCGACCCAGGGATTGAACCATCGCCTGTGTCTCCTGCATCGCAAGCAGATTCTTTAGCTGCTGAGCCATCAGGGAAGTCCTAACAAACTACCGTATGACCTAGAAAATCTACTATTGGGCACACACCCTGAGAAAACCATAATTCAAACAGACACGTGTACCCCAAAATTCATTGCAACAGTATTTACAATAGCCAGGGCATGGAAGCAATCTAGATGTGCACTGAGAGAGGAATGGATAAAGAAGTTGTGGTACATCTATACAAGGGAATTTTAATTAACCTTAAAAAGAA